GGTGAATCAAGTGTGACACTATATCAGAAAGTTACAATGCAGATAGAGCTTATTATTAATCGTAAAATATGTTATCAATTTGTAGTCAAATGAAGTCAGATGTAATATGACATATAAATAAAAAAGATTTTTTCAAATATTAAACTATTAATTGAAATACTTAATTTAAAAATAATTGTATTTTGTTATACATGGTTACGGCATTTAGGCAGCTGAAATTAGTCTTATCTTCTAACTATTTAGTATCCATGCCACTCAATTAGGTTTAACAAGGCAAGAATCAAACAAAATTCTTATAAAGAAGATAAATGAGTCACTCAAGAATAAATGTAAAAACCTAGAAAATAAGTTAATACCGATGACAAGCTTTGATAAATCTCTCTAGAAAAGATTAATTACTAATATAAGGGCCATCAGTGTTAGTACTTTATTATTTATTAACTAGTATCAAAAATTTGGCTTAATATTTAGTAATTATAGGATCAAAAAAGATATTTCAAAATAGATATTAATGGATAAAAATAATATTAAAATTGATGTTGTCAAAACAATTTGTCAAAGTATTACTAAGGAAATGATAATGAATCTAGAGTATAATAATCCTTTATTATCATACGTAGTTAATTTTTCAAATCTACCCAAAGAAATTAAAGATGCATTTGATGAGCAAATGCTAATCACAATGATAGCTCCACCAATAAAATTCTATCGAGACATGGATCCTATTTCAGAAAAATATTTTGTAAACTTGTATGAAAACTAACAAGTGTGTAAAAAATTATTTCCACAAGTTAGTAATACAAGCTCTTTATTTCTGGAACAGTATTTTCTTTGAAAAGCATGCTGCAAACTATAAGTAAATAAATAAATAAAAATGAATATTATTATACATTTCATTTTGTATCTTAATTTCAATAATCAGTAAATTTCTTAAAGATTTGAGATGTGGAATAGTAATAATTTTAATAAAGACTTCACAACTACATTTAATGAAGGTACATGAGAACATTTTGCATCACACCCAATATTTGATATTTTGACTTTTAGATAAATGTGTGTTATGCTGATATATAAGAATCTGCAATTATTGTAATTATCTAACATATTATAAGTTTATGTATTTTCTTTGTGTTTAGGGGGTGAAAATATATCTAGAGCTTACAGATTCCTTATTCGAATAGCATTTGAATAATTTGGATTGGCAAATATCTATTCAAATATTCACAGAATGACTAACATTATTCGAATATTTGAATAATTTTCATTATTCATCATGTGAAACTTCAGTTATTGGCTGCTTCATATATAGATATGTTATTAGTATTAGATTACTATGTGTGAAGCAGCCAATGATTGAAGTTTTACATGATGAATAATGAAAATTATTCAAATAAATTTGCTTATTCGAATAAAATTTGTTTATTTGAATTATTCAACAGATAATTATTTATTCAAATATTCACCGAATACGAATATTATTCGAATAACGAATATAAATATAAATACGAAGCTCTAAGTACATCAAGTGTATCAAAATATCAGAAAACTGAAAATATAAGATTTGAGAAGGAAACACGTGAATATTTAGATTGAATAATGGCACTGTTTCTCATGTCTTCACAAGCAAAGAAGGCAGATACCTGGATTGAAATGATGATTGCAAAAAATATCCATGAGATTGTATTTGCTGAAATATCAGAGTCACCATTTCAAGCTACATGTACAACCAAAAAGGTGTATAATGATAAATGTAAATTAATACGCTTTGGACATGATTCAAAAAATAAGATGCTCGATGAACTTATTGAGAAGAAATGCACATATTTATCTGATTGGAAGAATCTTTGTAATGATATTTGTAAGACTGAATTGTTATTATTCCAAGCTTATAGTAAGTTGGGCTTTATATGTTTTTCTAGTATCGAATTCTGTCCCTATTGGTTTAATTTTTGGTGCTACTAAACACATTTGTTTCAATATTTTAGAAGCAAAGCTCAAATTTTTGTTTATAATTTAAATAAAAATTTTACAAAAATATAATCCTTATTTTCAAATATCATTAAAAAAAAATTTTATTTAAATATATTAATTTTTTTAAAAAAATAAATCAGAAGTAAAATTCAGCACAAATTTGTACTGAATTCCAAATAGCTTAAGGGATAGACTTTTAAATTTTATAATAATTATTATTCTATAATTTAAAAAAAAAACAATAGTTACAAAATTTAGTAAAAACTTTGAAAGTCTATAACAAAAGATTTATTTAGCTATTTTTAGTAATTTTACTATTTTTAAAACTGCATTAATCGAAAGAACAGATTCACATAAGAATAAAACTAGATTTGTCTAGTATAAAATCCCAATTACTCAATCTACCCTCGATCGTAGACTGCCACTATTGGGGGATAGATTGATGTATTTTAGTTGTTTTTAGCTGCTAGTTGCACTATTGTAATCCATATTTCCTCACCATCAAATCACTTATCATTTTTCACCGTTACATCTACACTTTGTGTTAATTTCTGGTTGTACTAAAAATTTCGAAATATAGTATCGGTATATAAGTGTCGCAAATAGAAACTTCTGAAATGTTACTTAGTAAGATATTTGGGTTTTCCATTTGCGGTACTCATATCAAGCCTTATTATTTGAAAATGTCTAATTTACTAAGCTTTAATAATGATACTATTAGTTTGATTGAAAAAACAATAAAAGACTTAAACGTAACATTTTATGATATCAAACAATTTAAAAATTCTGAATTAATCGGTAGAGGAGCGTTTGCAAATGTATACCGTGCTAAATTAGAAGATCCCAATTCAAATATAAATGATGTTGCGTTAAAAGTTTTTACAAAAGGTGATAATGACAATGAATCTATAAATGCATTAGCGAGAGAGGTATATTAAAAGCAAATTATATGACCCTAGAATAATTATAAATAATTCTAATAATCGTAAAAAAAAAACATTAAAATTAAGATTGAATTACATATGAGGGTAGATATGAACAATAGAATTATAAAATTTTATGGAATTACTAAAAGAGAAGGTCAGTCCATTTATTAAAAAAAATTCAATTTTGCTTAGGAATTTTGCATATTTTTTATATTTTTTAAAAAATATTTATCAGTTACTTTGTTTGAACCTGGTCACAACTACGTTCTAGTATTAGAACTGGCTAATAGTAGAACATTGAGAAATTATTTGCAAAATAATGTAAATCTTAATTGGTACAACAGACTCCGTTTAGCATGACAACTTGCCGAAGCCATTAAACATATGCACTCTGCTAATATTGTTCATAGGGATCTTGTAATTAAAATTTTTTGTGTAATTATTATTCAATAATACATTAACGCATTACATTTATTTATTTTATAGCATTCAAAAAATATATTAGTTCACGAAAATAATATCAAGATTGCAGACTTTGGGCTTTCTAGATGTTTGGCCGATGCGACCAATACAAAGACAAAAATTGCAGTTGTTTTGCCATACATTGATCCTCAAAGCCTTAAACTTCTTTAACAGTCTTCATACAAAATAAATAAGGAATATGACATATACAGCTTGGGTATAATAATGTGGGAAATTTCTAGTAGACGTCCTCCGCTAGAAAAAATAAATGAAACAACTCAATTAATTCATGTTATAGCGGGTCTTAGAGAAGTTCCCATTGAAGAAACACCACCACAATATTCTGCCATATATACTGGTATGGTATATTAATGTAGAAGTTAACTGCTTTCTTCTTAACTTTTATAATTATATTAAGTTATAATCAAAAATGTAAAACTTTTAATGTTAATATGTTATATCTATAATATTTTGCGCAGTAATCATTTAACCAATCAGATTGCAGCTTTCCTATTCATTTGATCATTAGGTCCGATCTTGTGATCCTGTGATCAGAAATGGATGATATATAGCTTGTTAGAACCGTCCCAGTGAGCTGATTCGAATGGTGGTGGTTTTATTGGATTCTGTTTGGTGGTTCAAGAGTTATAGTTATTTTTGTAGATTAACAATATCTAACATTTCTAGCATATCTAGCATTTTTATCATATCTAGCATTTCTATCATATCTACTATATATAATATAAATTATATCTATTATATCTTTTAGTTCTTTTATATATTAATATCACTATATATAGTATTTATTAGCAATAGAATAGTCTTTATTGTAATAATTTATACATGTAAATTATCTATAAAAGTATTGCTTTCTTGCCTTCCAAGAAAGTTAAGTGTCTTTATACATTTAACTGATAATAAATGAATGCAATTCTTAGTATCTTTATATACTATTAATTGTTGCCTCTGCCTTAAAACACCCAATTATTCTGTATATTGTTAAGTCTTGTTATAGACTTTGTATTGAATCTGTTAAGTTATAGTTGTTATACTATAGTTGAACAGCTTCTGTTATTGTTGTTGTATTAGAAAAACTTCAGATTAATACTATACTGTACTAAGCTATTGTACTATAGCTTAGATCTGTATTCTAAAAATTTTTTATTATATTTGGATTATATTTATTAGATTTTTAGATTTATAAATTTGTTAGAATTGAAATTCAAATTTGCTTTTTAAATATTTATAAGTAATTTATTATTTTAATACTTAAGTTATTTTACTATATCAATTTAATCTATATATAGATATTTTTTATTAATCTGCTTAAATTCTACAAATTTACAAAGATTACCTATTAAAATAATTTTATTTAGTTAAGTAAATATTTTATAATTTTGTATATCAGTCAAAATATTGTTATTTTTGATAAATAAATGCAACCTATTTTTTATTATAACTATTATCTTTTATATCCTTCTACAAAAATAAAATATACATATTAACTCAAAAGTCTTTTAAGTAATTCTCTTTAAGAATTTTTTAATTCTATTTTTGTAAACAATATACACAGTTTTCTTTACAAATAAAATTTACTACATATTATTCTATAATCTAAGAAATGATTTATATTTAATAACTCTTTTTGTATTTTAAAAAATAATTATTATTATTAACATCAGTTGTCATTTTTTGAGAAAATTCTATTAATCAGTAGGATCAATAGTAAAAGCTTGTTTTGATTAGTTTATAATGCATATTTTAATTTTGCCCAAATTTATATTCTAATTTATATTCTAATTCTGCCCAAAATTATAGAATATAATTTTGCCCAAATTTATATTTGAATTTGTAGAGCATTTGATGTGTGCTCAAAGCTAAAAAATAAATTTTATTATGAAGTTTATATAAGAAAATAAATAAAAATACATACTTTGAAAATATATTACCTCTTTCAAATTTTCAGATTAAATGCCACTTTTCAAACAACCTAAATTTCTTTAGTTCTTTTGAATTCATTTGCAAACATTGATAGTGGTCCTTGCTTTCAAAATGCACTATAAATTTGTCCAAATCCTTTTCACCAATTTTTTTTATTTGTTTAAATTGTTTATATGGAATACTCTTATATTTTTTTTGAAAATATTTTAATTAGAAATATAATTTTTTGCATTTCTACTAATTCATCCTACCTATTATATACCAAATATGCATTTTATCAAATAACTAGATATTGAATCTTTCATATAATCTTTATAACAATTTCATTTTAATAATTATATAGAAAATAATAAATTAAATCGATTGTATAGAATATAGTAATAAAACAATATTAGATAATTAATATAAAGTTTACTAAAAGTCTTTTTATAATTAAGAGTACTAGCATAACAAATTCCAATTCAGGTTTATTATCAAACCCGATCAAACCCATTCTCAAGAAGAAATAAACCCTTTAGTATCTTGAACACCTGTGATATCACTAAAATAAAGTAGTTCAGCAAAAGTAATTTGAGATACAGTAAATATGCTTCTATTTGAATATCTGATAATTTTTACACATGGCTCTTGTTGAGCAAATATATTCAAGGCAATATTAGTGATTGATATGTTGAAAACTGCACTCAGTACAAAGCAGTTGCAATAAAAAGTAAGATGATATGTTGGTATAATGACTAAGAAGTTAAGAACAAGAATAAAGTATCTAAAAGTTTTCATTATTTTTATTCAAATAAAAAAGATAAGATTTAAATATAGATTTAATTTAATGATTAGCATTTCTAGCACTCATTTGTAAATAAATAAATAAATATATATAAAAGATTAACTATTTTGCATTAAGAAATTTCAAAATAATTTAACATTAAGAAAACAATTTTTCTATAATTGCCTCCATCTTGGATTTTTCGTACACCACAAAAAAATTCCGTCATTTCCTTTTCAAACTGGTATTTATTAGTACCTAGCATTATCACGTCAATATATAATTTTCCAGTTCATGTAATATATTTTAAAAAATATTTGAAAATTGCTTCTCCTCTATCAATAAGAAAATTCTATTATTTCAAGATATCAAGATTTGATTTAATTAATTCCTTACTCAATTAATTCCTCTGTTTCCTGAGAATTAACATTCATCATTTCGTTGTACTGGCGTTGCCATCGGTCATATTTCACTACTCCTTTTCTCAAGAGCTATTTGAAAAGGTATAACAAAAAAGTGATCATTTTTTTAGAACTGGTTATCTGGTTGATCATGTTATTGAAAATCTTACCTCCCACTGGTAATTGTCAAGATAGTGATCTTGCAACACTGTTTCCAACACTTGTACACGGTCTTCTAACGTAGCGTTGTTACGTCGGTTCGATACCTTTTGTGACAGGGGAATTCCTGGAAATGATACATATCGTTTTGCTAACTCTTTTTTAAAGCTTTAGCATGT